TTTATTGGTGGTTAGGTAGTTTTTCACAGAAGGGCAAAACACCTCAACAGCCCATTCATTAAAGAGCTGTCTTGTCACCCATGCCTTACGGTTGGACTTCCAATAAACTCCAAGCTTTCCTCTTACCACTTTTTGTTGTTTGAACACCCTGGGGTTCTCAGAGTGGTAGACAAGCATAGGCTTCAGTCGGAAATCCCCTGAAACTTTGGCACCAAGCAATGGAGTGAGACAGTCTTCCATGGGTTTATGCCCAGGTTAAGAGGCTTCATCTCTGGTGATGAATGTTCTTTTGGGTATCTTTTTCCAAAACAGCCCAGTTTCGTCCACATTGAACACTTGCAGTGGAAGATAATTTTTTTCATCCATCAGTTCTTTAAATTCCACTAAAAACTTTGGTGCCCCTTCCTTATCAGCACAAGCAGCCTCCCCATGCCGAACTACACTAAATATGTCACTTCTTTTCTTAAATTTTTTGAACCAGCCTTTGCTGGCCCTAAAATCTTCAAATTCTGTGCCTGAAGAACCAGGTTGATCTGTCTTTAAGTGTTCATAAATCTCCCTGGCTCTTTCACAAATGAATTCAGTAGAAACTGAATCACCTTTCATCTGTTTTTCCCTAATCCAGATGAGAAGTAACCTCTCTGTTTCTGCAATTAGGGTTCTACTTTTAAACACTCTGGTAGATTTGTCTCTCACTTTCCCTTCTTTAAATTTTTCTTTCTGTCCAAGAATTGTCGACATGCCATATTCTTTGCATAGCGCATTTGTTCTAGTGCCTTCTTCATGTTTTTTTATAATTTCCTGCTTAGTTTGGATTGAAATTGCTTTTCTTGATCTCTGAGGCCCCATGCTGGATTCAAACAATCTCAACACATGATATTTTAAGTTTAAACTTGTTGTAAATAAAGAATATTTTCTTTAAAATAACACTGCACTACGCTATATATTATCAATATGTAAAATAAATTTAAAAATGATCCAATAATTTGCTTGGAAACACAGAAAAAACCGTTTAGTTGAAGAGAGTCTCAAGCAAGATGTTACCTCCACTGAAAAGACAGAGAGACTAACGCCTGTTTGGTGTGTTGACAGGCTGGATGATGCGCATAAAACTAGTTTCCTTACCTTCAAATATGTTCAATAATTGTTAAAATGACTAAAAAATTTAATATAAAACTTTCAAAATTATTGATAGTACAAACTTCGTGATATTTACTAAAATAGTAAGGAATTTAAGCCCTAGAACCGATTACTGTATTGGCGGACTAATACGACAGCTAATGTGCAAGCGAAAACATGTTGAGGTCGGCTCGTAAGAAACTCATTAATTTGAGGGATTGCTCGTTAACTGAAGGTAAGAATCTTATGGAAGGTAACTCGCTAACCGAAATCTCGTTAACCGAGGCGCTCGTTAACCGAGGGACCACTGTATCTGGTACAGTGATCCTCGGTTAACGAGCGCCTCGGTTAACGAGATATCGGTTAACGAATTACCTCCCATAAGATTCTTAACTTCGGTTAACAAGCAATCCCTCGGTTAACGAGTTTCTTACGAGCCGACCTCAACATGTTTTCGCTTGCACTTGGCGGTCAACCAGCTGTCTTATTAGTCCGCCAATACAGTAATCGGTTCTAGGGCTTTAATTCCTTACTATTTTAGTAAATATCAAGAAGTTTATACTATTCAATAATTTTAAAAGTTTAATATTAAATTTTTTAGTCATTTTAACAATTATTGAACATAATTGAAGATAAAGTCACTAGTTTTATGAGTGCCATCCTGCCTTTTAACACACCAAACAGGCGTTAGTCTCTCTCTGTTTTCAGTGGAGGTAACATCTTGCTTTAGACTCTCTTCAACTAAACGCTTTTTTTCTATGTTTCCAAGCAAATTATTGGTAATTTTTAAATTTATTTTACATATTGACAATATATAGCGCAGTGCAGTGTTATTTTAAAGAAAATATTCTTTTTTTTACAACAAGTTTAAACTTTAAAAATCACGTGTTGACATTGTTTGAATCCAGCATGGAGCCTAAGAGATCAAGAAAAGTGATTTCAATCAAAATCAAGCAGGAAAATATAAAACAACATGAAGAAGGCACTAGAACAAATGCGCTATGCAAAGATTATGGCATGTCGACATCAACTGTGTCGACAATTCTTGCACAGAGAGTCTAATTTAAAGAAGTGAAAGTGAGACAAATCTACCAGTGTTTAAAAGTAGATCCCTAATTGCAGAAACTGAGAGGTTACTTCTCATCTGGATTAGGGAAAAACAGATGAAAGGTGATTCAGTTTCTACTGAATTCATTTGTGAAAGAGCCAGGGAGATTTACGAACACTTAAAGGCAGATCAACCTGGTTCTTTAGGCACAGAATTTGAAGATTTTCGGGCCAGCAAAGGCTGGTTCGAAAATTTTAAGAAAAGAAGTGATATTTTCAGTGTTGTTAGTCATGGTGAGGCTGCTAATGCTGATAAGGAAGGGGCACCAAAGTTTTTAGTGGAATTTAAAGAACTGATCGATGAAAAAAATTATCTTCCACAGCAAGTGTTCAATGTGGACGAAACTGGGCTGTTCTGGAAAAAGATGCCCAAAAGAACATTCATCACCAGAGATGAAGCCTCTTAACCTGGGCATAAACCCATGGAAGACCGTCTCACTCCATTGCTTGGTGCCAATGCTTCAGGGGATTTCCGACAAGCCTATGCTTGTCTATAACTCTGAAAACCCCAGGGTGTTCAAGCAACAGAAAGTGGTAAGAACAAAGCTTGGAGTTTATTGGAAGTCCAACCGTAAGGCATGGGTGACAAGACAGCTCTTTAATGAATGGGCTGTTGATGTGTTTTGCCCTTCTGTCAAGAGCTACCTAACCACCAATAAACTCCCTTTAAAGGCTCTTCTCCTCATGGATAATGCTCCTGGTCATGACCCTGAACTTGCCAGAACTTTGGAGTATCAATTTGACTTTGTGAAAGTGTTATTTTTACCTCCCAACACTACATCACTCATACAGCCAATGGACCAGAATGTGATCAGCAACTTCAAGAAGTTGTACATGAAGAAAATGTTTAGAAGGTGTCATCAGGCAACTTCCAATGATCCTGAACTAACACTGAAACAGTTCTGGAAGACACAATTCAACATCCTGGAGGCTGTAAATTTGATTGTGTCATCATGGCAGGAAGTCTCCACCTAGATCCCTCAATTCTTCATGGAAAGCACTGTGGCCACCAGTAGTCCATGATTTTGAGGGATTTGAGGAAGAAACAGAGTTGGCCCAGGAGATTGTGTCCATTGGTCAGTCATTGGGCCTTGAAGTGGAAGAGGATGATGTGGAAGAGCTTGTGATGTCTCATGAGGAGGAACTTACTCCTGATGACTTGCAGCAACTGGATGAGATGTTAGAGGCTGACAATGGTGAGGATGAAAAGGAAAGTGATGACCGTATGTCAACTAAAGAGTTGAAAGATGTGATTTACCACTGGGAGAAGTTCAGGGAACTGGCTTCAAAGCACCGAGATGTGGAAAAAGCTGAACTTAGTTTGTGTTTTGTTGAGGACTCAATGGTCTCCTTCTTTAAACATAAGTTAATGGTGAGAAGGAGAGATGCCCCACAGACCACAATTGACACTTTCTTCAGTAAAAGGCAGAGGGAACAAGATGCTATCCCTCAGCTGTCCACTGCAAGAAGTAGAGAGGATGATGCTAGCTCTCAGCCTTCCACTTCAAGAAGGAGAGAGGATGTTCATGGTGGAGAAAATGGAAGTCCAGAGGTTCCTGACATTTTCATGGAATGTGACTCACCTTCCAAGAAGCAGTAAAATGCTTCTCCTCCACCTCCACTTCCTTCTCTTCTCCCTTCTCCTCCTCCACCTCCCACTTCAAATTCACATCATCATCATCATCCAGGAGCCTTCTACATACACACCTCAAGGTAAGTGTCAATTTTTAACATTTTTGTTGAATTTAGGCAATTTTCGGTGAGCTGGAACCAATTACCCCAAAACCAATTGAAACAATGGTTTCGGTTAATGAGATTTTCGGTTAACGAGCAACCTGCTGGAACGGATTGTGCTCGTTAACCGAGGGATCACTGTGTTTTGAACTCTTTATTACCCCCTTTAGTTTTTGGAAATGAAACTTTATTGTATTGTATTTGCAACTCCTCATGGCCAGTTTAAAAGATCCACCAAGGTTTTGGAACTACCTTGTAGATCAGTGGTTCTCAGCCTTTTTGTGGCTACAACCCTAAATTTCCCAACAATACTGTGTCGTGACCCTCAGGCATATAATATATTATATAGCTTAAATGTTAAGCAACAATTTATTTGACTTTATTATAAGTACTATATTGTCTGAGGGCCCCTCGTGACCCTATTGAGAACACCCCAAAAACCATGATTTGGGTCGCGACCCGAGGTTGGGAACCGCTGTAATGTAGACGGTGCCCCTGTGATCCAGCTAAGTGGTTCTGCTTGTGCCCGCACCAAGTCTTTGTCTGTGGGTGTGTCACTGAAGATGGCGCTCATTCTCCACCTCCTTCACATACCCAAATCTCCTTTGTTTTTATAGACTGTACGCGCCACAAGTGTATACACCAGCTCTGCAGGAATTAACCTGGTTGTTGCTCAACAACTTTCATTTTGGCCACAGAGAGAGTTTGATATTACAGTCATATCTTAGTTAGCCGGAATCCCTCAAACCCGGAACTATTAGATAGCCGGGCACATTTTCCAGAACAATTTTCTGTCACCCGGAAAATTCCGGGGAAGAAGAATTTTTTTCCAGCCACGAGAGAGTCGTCTCGTTACCCGGAAGTCTCTCATTCCCGGAAGCGCTCTGCAACGATTGTTCCGGCTAACGGGGATATCACCGTATTTAGTAAGATTGTATGAACACTTTGTTATACACTTACTGAGACTAAGCTAATTTCTGTATTTATAATTACCCAGTAACAAAAATTTCTGAATATTTACATGAAATTTATTGTTCCAGAGGAGACAGAGTGGGGAGCTCAAGATTCTGTTCAGTACAAGCTTAATGTACAATGCACTAAGAACCCCCATGCTCTTGGTGATGAGACTGACCCAGATACTTTATACTTAAATAGAAAAGGTAAGAACTTACAGATAAACATTGTATTACCTGTCATCATTTCCCATGTGTTTTCAGTCTTACTAGTTTTATCCACTGTTCTGCAGGCTGGCCACAACTGAGAAAAATTATTGATATTTTCTTTATTTGCTGTCATTAATTGAGGCGTCTAGCCTAGGAGGGACGAACTCGCCGGTCACCCAAAAATCTGTTTTCTATGATTTCGGAATTTTCCAGGCTTCCAACTGTGATGACAGGAAGTGGCGAGTTCGTCTCTCCTACGCTAGATGCCTCAATTACTCACTCTTTTATGCTATGCATGTCTACCATTCATTTGGCTAGTGTTTGCCTCTTGAGAGTTAAACTCGACAACGTGTGACAGGCCTCATGTGGAAAAGTCTGAATTTCCAGTACAGTAGACTCGCAACTTATGCTCATTTTTCTTACGCGGTTTCAACTATACGTGGATTACCCCGGGGGTTAGGTTATAATTCCAATTTCAAGCTCAAAATTTTTAAATTATTCATAATCGCGTCAAACGCTAGCCCACCAAAGCTCCACCCCAGCCATCCCACCTCTCTTTCTTCAATTGCCACGTGGGTATTGTTGGAGTAACACCTGCCGCTCGTGTGTGTGTGTCAATTAGTACGCTTAAACCTCTCTCTTACTCGCTCATAATGCCCAAACTATAACATGTTTATATTCAAGTTAATCACTTGTATTACATTACAGTAGTGATTTTGAGTTATAGTGTACAGTCGGCCCTTAACATACATGGGGCTTATGTAGCAGAGATAGCTGTGGATGTTAAAAATCCACGTATATGTGCTGCCCCCCCAAAAAACCCTGGCCCCCCCATGTCCTTATTTACCGTATATACCTGTGTGTAGTTCGAGCTTTTAAGATCAAATTATTTGGCAAAAAATTGGGGGTCGACCTCTAAAAGGGTAATAGCTTCGTTAGGTTGAAAAATATTTACCAGTAACTACCAGTAAACAATGGAAACGATGCACCAACGCACCACCAGCTGTGAGTGTCGGTACAGTTGCCAGGGCAGATCTCTTGCGTCATCATAGCAAGCCCAAAGTAGCCAAATCTATGGTATGGTAGCACAGGACAATGTAAAACAAAGTATTCATTTATTAAAGTGTATTTATAGATTCTGTACATAAAATTTTTTCATTGCATTTGAAACATCAATCTTTGTTAATTAAATTTGAAACAAAAGAAAACTACGATACCGTATTTTCATTAAAATATTACATCACAAGTATATTTTACCTTAACTGTGACTGAGTGAATATACGTATTCTCAGAAATAAATATGGAAATATAATATTTTTGCTGGAATGACGTACATATTACAGTGGCAAGAGGGATAAAATCATGACGAAAACAATGACTTTCGCTTTCTTTCGTTGTTCAAAAGATTTTACCGTAATCACTTTTCGAATGGTTTTCAGTTAAAAAACTATTTTACTCGTACTGTATAACAATAATATTCTATCCTATCATTAGCCTTATGATCCCACAACTGAAAACCATTCAAAAAGCGATTACGGCAACATCTTTTGAACGAAAGAAAGTCATTGCTTTCGTCACAATTTTATCCCACTTTCCACTGTAATACGTACATCATTTCAGGAAAAATATTACATTTCCATGTTCTCAGAAATAAATGGTAGTTTTGTTGAAATGTAATGTACAGTATTTAATATTAAAATGCAAAAATAGCTATAAAAACAATTAATACACCCGAAATGTACTGGCTGGCATCTCCACTCGTCCCTGCTCCCGCGTCCAAGGTCACCACTCCTCCCAACTCGCTCCCTCCTCCGCCTCCTCCACCGTCACTACTGCCGACAACAAACACAAATGTTTTGTGAATAACTGCACCTCCACTTCCTATGTACAGTACTGAACTGTACTGTGCTGTGTATTTTTACAAACAATAAACATGGCAAGAAAAGCTATTAAAAAAAAGAGATAAAAATTTCACTTTACCGTACAGTACCTATCCTCGGCGACAGGACGGGGGTCATCGGGCTCATCGTCACTGAATTCCATAACGGGTGGTGAAGTGGGGGCGATGGTGGATTCAGCTGCTTCCTCACTGCCGCCAGTGATTGATGGTGTTAAATCTCTCCTTCGGTGATCAAAGAACATGGTGATGGGGAGTTGTCGTCTCTTTCTTTCATTTCTTCCATGATGTTTTTGTATGGAGCAAAAACGTCATCCATCCCTCGCATGAATTTCAGGGCACGCACCATGGAGGGGTCCATACTATAGGCCAGGTTTTTCAGTGCCTCAATATTCCAGGTCATCTCCCCCAACTTCTCCAACGTTATTTCTTGGTGCTCTTCTTCTTCCTCATCCTCTTTCCCTTTGGCTTCCTCATCCTTGCCAGAGTCTACTAACTCCTGTAGATCCTCCTCGGTCAGCTCAGTGTCGTGCTCTTCAATTAGCTCCTTAATCTCGTCCTCTGCCATGACCTGGAAGCCTTCAGCAGCCACTTTCCTTGACAGTGCCAGGGTCTTTCTGAATATTTTCATTAAAATCCATCAAAATCATTTTCCTTGTCATTGTCTTAAGCACCAAACAGTTCCTCCCAGTCTTCTCCTTGAACAGGGCTAGAGGGTACGTGTTTTTCGAATCGTTTTCAATTAAAAAAATGTTACAGCACATGTATATTTTACCTAAACTGTGCCTGGATGAATATATTCTCAGAAATAAATAGTAGTTTTGCTGAAACGTGATGTATTTCAATGTAAAATAGGATAAAATACATGACGAAAACAAAAGACTTTACCTAACCTTCGAATGTTCAAGAGATGTTACTCGTTTTTTTAATAGTTTTCGGTTAAAATACTGTTATATTACAATGATATTCTATTCATACTGTGCTTGATATACTACATTCACGGAAATGTAATATTTTTGCTGAAATGACGTACGTATTACAGTGGAAAGTGGGATAAAATCGTGACGAAAACAATGACTTTCGCTTTCTTTCGTTCAAAATATGTTACCGTAATCGCTTTTCGAATGGTTTTCAGTTAAAAAAACTGTTGCATCACAAGTGAATTAGGATAGAATATTATTGTAATACAACAGTTTTTTAACTGAAAACCATTCGAAAAGCGACTACAGTAACATCTTTTGAACGAAAGAAAGCGAGTCATTGCTTTCGTCACTTTCCACTGTAATACGTACGTCATTTCAGCAAAATATTACATTTCCATATTCTCAGAAATAAATAGTAGTTTTGCTGAAACGTAATGCATTTCAATGTAAATTAGGATAAACTACATGAAAACAAAAGAGTTTACCTAACCTTCCGATGTTCAAGATATGTTACTCGTTTTTTTAGTAGTTTTCGGTTAAAATACTCTTATATTAGTGATATTCTATTCATACTGTGCTTGATATAATACATTAACGGAAATGTAATATTTTTGCAACTACAATGCTGATGTCAACACAAGTGTGGTTACAGCGAGACTGACTGAGTGAGGGTGAGCTATGCGTGTGTGTGTGTGAGGTTGCGGGAGCGGGCGGTGTGCAGTGTTCGGTGCTGCGCGCGAGTTGAATGGCGCGCGATTTGAATGTGCTTCAATTACTTCAATGTACAGAATATTCCTCCGGCGGGGCAATCCTCGTATTTGCAAATCCGTGTATTATAAACCCGCGTATGTTAAGGGCCGACTGTATATGTACATATACAGTACTGTATACAGTCATGCGCCGGTTAACGTCCAACTGAACAATGTCCGATCGCATATACGTCCGTGGCCCCCCCCCCCAAAAAAAAGTGACGCCTGCTCGACCACCACTCCACGACCCCCTTACGGAGACACGATGATCCTTCCCATACTGGCCAGATATTATGTGTTAAAGCAGTGGTTCTTAACCTTTTTTGAGTCACGGACCCCTTTGAGAATCTGGTGAAAGCTATGGACCCCCTCCCTAGAAAAATGCACATAAGCACATGAACACAACTTTGCATGCAATGAATATACTTTATTTTATTGAAAATTCATTGCCTCATACAGTGTATGACATACACAAAGTATGAATAAAATAAACATTCTAGAAGTCAAAACCTGACGACGATGACGATTGTATGTTACCTGACCGTGTACAGTAGCATCCCATGCCACCCTACAGATTTACTGGTTTTCTTCAGTATCCAAAAATACATACATAACACCTGGAATATATCGACAAAAATAGAACAACTTAATATAAAAATATAGTGAATATAAATGTTAAATTTTTATCTGACCTTCACGGACCCCCTGAAGCCCATCCATGGACCCCAGGTTAAGAACCCCTGTGTTTAAGGAATATCCTTTCCTTCCTTAGGCTTTAGTAAGCATTTGCCTCCAGGTGTAATGTTAACCTACATCTATTGAGGATAAAATCTTTCACCTACAAATTGACAATAACACATTTGCTGTAATCAGACATATCTAGTTGCCTCAACAATTGCAACCCCAGTTGCAATTGGGGTTGCAATTTCAAATTCTGTGTCATTACTAAGGAATAACGAAGTCTCTGGTGCGCTCTAAGATTAAGAGAGAAAACGGAGGACTCAGGCATCCTGAAGCGAGAGAAAACAGACTCGTATGATGGGGGACACAAGCACTCACACATGCCACTCATACTGACAGACTTGACACTCACTTACTTGACAAGTTTTACCAACCATTAGTTGTGTGCGTTATCTAGTGAATTTAGCCAATATTGTACAGTACAAGAACAGTGAACCCTCACTTTACACGGTCAATTGGACGGAGGCCCGCGTAAAGCGAGAAACGCGTAAAGTGAACAGCATAACATATGGGATTAAATGAAATAGAGACCGGCTGACCCCCAAACTCCACTTTTTCCGACACAATACCTATGTTCTAGCAAAAATAACGTCTTAATTTTATGATGGTACATGCACACAATTAATACTTACGAGAAATAGAGAAATACAGTCACCAAGTTAATGTCCATTCAAATAATGGACTCAA